GAACTCAAGCACTTGAGCCATCATTAGCTGCTTCCCAGGAGCACTGGCGGCGAGCTGGACAGGAAGTGCAGTAGCTGAGACCGGGACCAGTACATGGACGGGATGCAGGCGTCCCAGACGGTGGTGTAGCCCACCGCTGGACTCCTTTGTTCACAGACTCTCCGAGGCACTCCCATGTTAACTGTTCCTTAACATCAAGTTTATACATCATTATTTAATACTTCCCAGTTTTTACAAAACGGCAGCCATGCAATGCAGCTGGCAGGATTCCCTCCAGCCTTTCTTCTTTTGCTTTTTATGTCTTCCTGGCTTTTTTTTTTAAACAGTTGTTTGCTTTAGTTTCCTAAGATACTGATTTTGCTGACTGTTGTTTCTCGATCCCTTGTATTTTCTACAAACCGTTAAGCAGACCCCACGTTCACAAGTGCCTTTCGAGAAGTCCCTCATTGGCGTGCCCTAGACCTTGTTCTAATTATGGAGTGAGAGGTATTTCCTGCAAAGCTGGCTCCGATCTGGTACCTGCTGCACAGAGCATGCGAAGGGGTTCCTCAGAACACAGGGCCCAGGGTCTCCCTCCACCAACGCTCCTTATAGCTTTTAAATGTTGCAGGCAACAATTTGAGTAAATGACAAATCCGAAGACCATGCACATGTAAACACTTTGGTATCACGATCAACAAACGAAAGGCTAATGTGAACTCTCACAGATGATAGCTGGAAACCACACGTTAACCTTAGCCCTACAAAAATGACAGTGCACACAGATGCTGTACGTGCAGCATATGCACGAGTCCTGGGAGGCCAGGTGTTGGGGGCAGCAGTTGATCGGCTGCGTGGGGCGCCCACGTTTGACTCCCGACTCTGCTCTGCGCTCCAGCTTCCTGCTAATGACAGCGATGACGACTCAGGTACTCGAGTTCCTGCCACCCACACGGGAGACCCAGACTGAGCTCCTGGCTTCAGCCGGGCCCAGCCCTGCTGCTGTGGGCGGGCTGGAGAGCTGTGCAGAACTTGTTCTAGAACAGAAGCCTGATGGGGGTCCATGTGTTTAAATTCATTGTAAGCAGACTTGCACATCTTCGAGGGAAGATGTTTTGGGATGAGTGAAGGGGACAGAATACACAGAAAATTCAAGGAAGTGTGGTAGGAAAGCGTCACGGTCTGCTACTGGCTTGCACGGAACGGCAAACACACAGGCCTGACAATCGGACACCGACTGCTGACCTAAGCAGAAGCAACACGCTAGCAGGGAGGCTTAGGGAAGCACGCGCGGGAGGGGCTGACGCAGGGGGTGGAATTGTACTGCAGGAGGACCGGTGTCCCGGAGTCAGCGAGCTGCCGCGCACCTGTGCACGAGACAGCACTCCCAGAGCAGCTACGGGAGCTGCAGTGGGTGCCTACAGGGTCAGGCCAAGGACGGGGAACACAGAAACCGTCCAGTTTCACTGCCAGTTCTGGGGAGCCACATTCTATATGCATTCAAGAAATAAAACAACAACAACAACAACAATGAAACAGATGAGCCAATACCTTTGCTACCACAATCCCATCAACAACTTTCACAACCAACGCCTGAGGACTTCCTGGTATCAACTGCTGGGCGGGGCGGCCCATGGCAAGGCTGCAGGGAGGCAGGTTCAGAGAACACAGCAGGACGGGGGAGGCCTGGTTCGTCCAGGCAGACTCAAACACGTGGAGAAACGAGAGGGATGGACATGGACGCTTGCCAGCGTTCTGGCAGACACAGAAGCGGGATGTTGGGAGGAGGAAGCCGAGAGGGCCCGCAAGGAAGCGCCATTATTATTATTATTATTTTTTTTTTTTGACAGGCAGAGTGGACAGTGAGAGAGAGACAGAGAGAAAGGTCTTCCTTTGCCGTTGATTCACCCTCCTATGGCCGCCGCGGCCGGCGCGCCACGCTGATCCAATGGCAAGAGCCAGGTACTTATCCTGGTCTCCCATGGGGTGCAGGGCCCAAGCACTTGGGCCATCCTCCACTGCACTCCCGGGCCACAGCAGAGAGCTGGCCTGGAAGAGGGGCAACCGGGACAGAATCCAGCGCCTCGACCAGGACTAGAACGTGGTGTGCCGGCGCCGCAGGCGGAGGATTAGCCTAGTGAGCCGCAGGAGGTGCCCACTTCTGACCTGGAGACGGATGCCACCCCACTGCGAGTTAGGATAACGAGGCCGCAGAAAGCGGGCCTCTCGGACTCCTTGCTTCTCTCTTGCGACCTGCTCCCGAATGCCTTTCTAAACGCCGTGTTTAGCAACTATTTCTCCGTCATCAGCTGCCCCTGACCCCACCCCACCCCACCCTGCCTGGGCTTTAACAAATTTTTTTTCTGCTATTTTGGGCGATGTTTTTCATTTTTATTTTTGAGATAGCATAATTTTAATGTACATTACAATCGAAGCTTAAAGGAAGAGTTCAACAAGTAAGAAGACCACAGTTCAGCAGAAATACAGGCAAGGGCTAGTCAGCACAGTACTCAGATGGAGGTGTCAGTGTCACTCACGTTGTGCACTGTAAAATCATCACATCACTAGAACTACAGCAGTGTATCATTTACAAAAAGATTTATTCACTTATTTGGAAGGCAGAGTTAGAGAGAGAGAGAGAGAGAGAGAGAGAGAGAGAGATCCTCCATCTGCTGGTTTACTCCCCAAACAGCCACAATAACCAGGGCTGGGCCGGGCCGAGCCAGGAGCCTGGAATTCCCTCTAGGTCTTCCAGGTGGGTGGGAAGACGTGGGCCATCCTGTGCTGCTTTCCCAGGCACATCAGCAGGGAGCTGGATGGGAAGTGGAACAGCTGGGACTCAACCATACGGGATGTCAGTGTCGCAGGTGGTGGCTACATCATTCTTAACAATTTGCTTGAAAGATATAAACAGTTGGACAAAACAACAACTGCAGCAATACTGACACGCACAGGCATGTCTTTCCTTTCTGGTTTGTTTTGGATTCGTTTTTGGTAACTTTAGCTCATTTCACTCAACATGACGTCCCCCCGTTGTAACTGTTTTGATGCAGATGGTAGAATTTCATTCTTTGCTATGGCTGGGTAATGTTCCATGAAGTGTGTGTGTGTGTGTGTGTGTGTGTGTGCAGAGACACCTTTACCACGCTTTCTCTGTCCTCACCTGCTGGGGACGCTTGGCTGCTGTGCAGTGCTGGCTAACGTGGTGGTGCAGGGCTCTCTCATGTGACATGCTCATGTCTGGGCCGCACGACCCAGCAACGCCACTGCCGGGCGCACAACTTCGCACGTCTGCACCATCTGAGCCCGCCGTCTCTTTCTTCTGACTTGATTCTTGTTCTCCCCTTGACTTCTGGGACCAGGACCCCAGGACTCCACTCTCCCCTCATTTCTCGTCTCCGTTCCTCCCTGCTCCAGGGTGAATCCCCGGGGCCTTCCTCGCCACCTGGAGTTCAGGCAGCCATCTTGGTTCTCAGGAATTTGTGCCTGGCCAGTGGGTCTGCAGACCGCTGGGCCACACAGGTCAAAGATAAAATGTGAAGAGGTACTGATAATGACCACAGCGATATCAGCAGTGACCACGGTGGGATGTCTGCGGGGGACATATGCCGGCCTCAGGCCTCCCCTCGTCCAGGGCCAGGAGGAGGACGTTCTGACTTCTGATTGGCTTTCAAAGATCCGGGTCCTGCTCGTGAGACGGCTACTGTGAGGCACTGATAACCTGGCCAGGCACAGGCTTCCGAGTGATGCATCTGACGGACTCTGGAAAAACACGTGGGTGAACAGAACAGGCGACGAGATCAGCACCCAGAGTGCACGCGGCGTCCCACGTCACCCGTGCAGCGGTGGTGAAAATCATCGCCGTGGCTGCTCTGAGGTCTGGGTCGCACACTCGGGATCTGCTTCCACGGCTCAGACACCATATGGCGTCCTGACACGGAACGCGCAAGGTGAGGAGGTCGGCGGGTTGCAGTCTACGGCTCCGTGTGATTGTTCTGGACGTGTTAAATGAGATGTACCTGACTGTAACTTATTTTAGAAACCTAACCTTGACTGATCTAAGCAAGCCGGTTGAAATTTACAGCTTTGCAGAAAGCACACAACACTCTTATGTAACTCACAGCACATGATCAAAACAGAAACACACCAGCACCTTGTCCCCGCTGCAGAACCAAATGCATCGTTTTCTGTTCATTCCCTTCAGAAAAACGCGTGCTGGCACCCCAGGGCCAGGAGCACGAGGCAGGGAGCTACGCCCATGGCAGCGAGCTTGTTCTGCAACCCTCACATCATTTCTAGAACACAGGACTTTCATGGTACACTGATACAGAAAGTCTTAGTAAAACCAGCCGATTCCTACTGGTCTTTCGCGTTTCAAGGGGGGCCAGCTTGGCCAGCTCACCGGCAGCCGTGCGGACCCACGTGGGCATGGCTGTGGCAACTCAGATGCCGGCCCCTTCACTCTGTCCCAGCTGCCTCTCTGCCAGACAGGTTCCCAGTCCCGGTCTCGCTCAGCCTTCTTTAGCGGATGTCACATTCCTCCATCTCCTGGAAACCACTAAATTCATCTTCTGTGATTCAAGTAGCTCTCGAAATCCCCTTCTTCCAAGAAGTCCCCCTGACTTGGTGGAAGAGGTGACTCTGAGCAAGCCCATTTGGTTATGGGGTTTTACCCTCCGCTCTGGGCCGTGAAAGCTGGGCAGGCTCCGGCCCTGTGTGCTTTCCGTGACTGCATCCCTCGGGGCAGGATGGCAGGGGGCGTGTGCAGAGCCGCGTGGTGCGAGGCCGCGGCGGGCGGGGGCAGACAGCTGGGAGTGGCGGCAGGGGTCCCAGCACCCGGCAGCCTTCCAGCCGAAGGCAGCCACCAGTCGGCTGGCCTGCTAACTGGGCACAGGGTGACCCAGGCCGAGAGGGCGCTGTCAAGGCTGCGTGCGGATTTAACACCGGGAGTTCCGTGTAAGCTGCAAACACCCAGCGGGACACCTGACAGATCATCTGGACAGTGGTTTGACAAACACAGGTAACTGACTTAAGTGTTTATTTTGAATGTTGAAGCCAGACTCATAGAAAAGTTACACAGCCAACGAAAATGTCAGTTACGGGAAAAAATGCCAAGGAACTTGGGATTTACAGTGAACGCAGACTCTTTATTGGCTGAAGGCACTGCCCCTGACACCTAAGATTACACCCGCCGTCAGGAGCAGTTTTGTTCATTTAGTCTACGGTCAGGTTAGACACAATGGGCAACACTCGACTTCTCAACAGCTTTATCCAGCACACCTGTAAAAGACATCGCCTTTTTACCCCGTATATGGAATGAGCAGGCACAACATTAATTTACTTCAAAAAACAGACACTGTATGTGACTATACCAAGCTCCAAAGTTACCAGGATTTCTAATGACTGAAATTAACTTTGACTTTTTAATTGCTGCAATTAACAAAGGCATTTGAATTAGGAGACTTACGGCCACTTGGAGGAAATACGGATTTCCAGTACACCGTTCATATAAGGACGGGGCTTCTCTAACCACCATCAGTTAGTGTGCCGGCGCCCACAGGGAGCCTGGGAGGGGCAGGTCGGGGACCCCGCCCTGGGAGAAGTCGCAGTGACCGGACCCCGGCCTGGAACCCAGCAACAGTGGACACCGCCTGGTGGTCCAGGGCCTCTGGCATCATCAGAGATGGATGGGCCTGAGCAGGCCCGGGCTGCAGCCACGCGGCTTCGGAGGGAGCGGGGGCAGGGGCGCGCGGCGGGCGGTGGCGGGAGGCAGCAGCGGGAGGCGGCTGGTTCTGCAGGGGACGCTGGTGCCTGGGTGTGACGCAGCAGCCGGCAGCACTGCGTGGCAGGCGGCACTCAGGTCCTCAGACCAGCAGCACCCTCGTGTGAGCGGACACATTTGAGAGGGAGGGCGAGCAGCCCGGGCCGCGGACGAGGTGCGGAAAGCTTAGCGCTGTGAAGCGTAAAATTAGCAAAACGCGAAGTGAGTCCATGGGCAACTGGACCAAAAATCTCCCCAGTGAAAACATTTGTAAATGGATTCCACAGATTATCCTAAAAACCCGCTCTGGGGCCAGCGCTGTGGCACAGCAGGTTAAGCCGCACCTGCAACACTGGCGTCCCATGAGTGTGGGTTCGAGTCCTGGCTGCTCCCACTTCCAATCCAGCTCCCTAACGCTCCTAGGAAAGCATGGGCCAAGTGCTTCGACCACCCCTGCCACCCACGTGGGAGACCCCGACGGAGTTCCAGGCTCCAGGCAGTCACAGCCATCTGGGGGGTGAGCCAGCAGGTGGAAGGTCTCTCGGCCCTCCCTCTCTCTCTGTAACTCCGCCTTTCAAATAACTAAATGAATCTGTTAAAATAAAAGCCAAACAACAACACCGGACACTTGAATGCAGGGATGCAGGGCCACTGGTGGGAAGTAAGATTTCGGTGCAGCTATGCGTGCCGTGTGTAAATAGCACTTTCCACGTGTCTCCTCACCGGTCTCTCCATGGGACTGGCAGGCAGCTCAGGCCCAAAGTCTAGTAGGCGGGCCACTGGGGAAGGCTGCAGTGCCCACCTCCGGCCTCTTGGAAGCCTCCCAAAGGAGGTGCTGCTCCCACATCGGCCACACCAGGCCAACCTGAGCTAGGCTGGGGGACAGGAGAGAGAGAGAGAGAGAGGCAGGGAGGGCGGGGGTGGGGGGCGGGGGGGACTGCAGCCCGTGCTTCCGCGCGCTCAGGAGGGCGATGGCTTTGTTACCCGGCGTCTCTGCGCGGCTCTTCCCTCGCAGGGCTTATGTTTTCACCGTGGCCGCGGAAGCAGCTTGGAAGCAGGTGAGCTGCAGGTGCATGCTGCTCTTGAACTTGTTCAGCAGCTCCTCCAGGAACCTGCGGGGAGGAGACAGGGTTTACCCGCCTGGCGGGAGGGTGGCCGCACGGCCCAGGAGGGAGCTGGCTGCCCAGTGCTGCCTGCTGTTCCTTAGAAAGCAGCTGAAGAACTCACTCCCTGTGGATTCTCAGCTCAGCGACGGAAACAGGTCCGTCAGAGAAGCGAGCAGACGGAACACATCACACACAGCGCTGTTAACACCCGGAAGGAAACACTGCCTGCCCTGTGTCCTAGGCTGACCACTCAGTGCTGGCAAACCCATGCAGAAGTGGACCACCGCACAGTCAGGACGGCAGTCCCCCCATACCCCAGACTCTCCCCGTCCCATCTCCTGGACAACCGCAGGTGGTCTTCTGCTCCTGTGACTTCGCATTTTTGTTTTTGGCAAATATTGGAGAGTGGTGGGCAGAGCAGGCTTCGCTCTACTCCCACTGGGCACCCTGCAGATTCTCCCCACCTGGCCGGATGTGCCCACAGCACACGCCAGGAGCGGGCTCCCCGCTCAGCTGGCTCCGATGAAACCACCAGGGGCCGGGTTTAGCCCTAACAGTGTCAGCTTTTAACGCAATCCCAGCAGTAAACCCACGTCCCAGCTGTGACCTGGACCACTTCAGAGTCCGTTCTTGCCCTCGGGCCATGGACCAGCCCTCTGTGCCATACTGCACATAGTTAAAAAAAAGGGGGGGGCAGATTTTTATAGTTTACTTTTTTAAAAATCAAATTTCCTTTAAAGAAATGAACTGGGTTTGGAAGTGATCCAGATGGAGGTTGAAGAAGCTCCGGCTTCAGCCTGGCCCAGCCCTGGCTGTCGCAGCCATGTGGGTAGAGAACTAGCAGATGCAAGCTGGGTCTTTCTCTCTGCCTCTTTCTCTAACTCTGATTTTCAAATAAATAAATAAATAAATAAATCTTTAAAAAATGTCAATTTACTTTGGTGCAAAAATATTGAGATCCACACAACATTTTTCCCAACACACATCTCCAGGAAGTCTTTCACAATTCATCTAGTTTACTGAAGAAGGGAAAATACGCTTTCTTGTGACACTCTGAAACAAGAGCACATTTCTGGATTGCCCAAACCCCACATAAGCAAGGTGTCTCCTCGTTCTGTCCTTCGGGAGACGTGACGCACGAGCACAGCTGCTCCCTGGGCCAGCCACTCGCTCCGCACGCACACTGGCTCTGGGAACAGCCACGGAAACTCACTTCTTATCCGCTCCGCTCGAAAGCTGAGGCAGGGCTTCCAGGGCTTGTTTGAAACTGGACCTGGAACACAAACAACACCACGGGGGCTGGCACGCCTCACGGCTCCCAGGGGCACGGGGAAGGTCCCGGGGACAGCTGGGCAGCACGGTGCCCGTGTGCGGAGTCGCGGGACACATGGGAGAAAAAGCGACAGACGGAGGAACAGTAGGAGGGAGGGTGTGGCGTGGGGCCGGGAAAACTCCACGGGGGAACGAAGCCTGCCTTGACCAGAGGCGCCGCCGACGCCACGTGCGGGGAGAGGCACACAGAGCAGAACAGAACCGCAGACAAGTGACCCCGGGGTGGGCGGGCCAGTGAGCAGAAACGGGTGCTCTGGGAGCGACCACGTGAATGGGGACGTGTCTCACAATAACTGAACATGGCCTCTGCAGTACTGAGCTATTGCGCTTCAAGTCTGCAGGAAATGGAGAGAGAGATACACACACCTAAGATATTCAACATCATTTCTGTAGACGAAGAAGGTTAGAAGGATGAAAAGACCCACCCATCTGGTGTGTTTAATGTCTGCAAGTACAAAGTATCAGAAACATGATCGAACCAAATGAAAAGCTTCCTGGGGGAGCTTGTTCGGTAATAACTTGTTCTGGTCACTAAGGAATATTCTTAACCTCTCTTCTTCTTTTATAACCAGCTGATGAGGTGCAGAAAGAAATGTAATCGGTAGTCCTGGCTGCAAGGTGGCCCTTGACTTACTGCAAGCGCACACTCTGCCGCCTGCCAGCAAGCTGGTTTCTCAGCAGTGCGGCACCACCTGGGACAGGCGCCACAGCAGCAGCGGCTGAGCAGCCCCGCGGAGCCCAGAGCTGGTGCTGGGGTCCTCAGCTGTTCCTGGCGAGGCAGGCAGGGCTGCGGGGAGAGGCGCCTGCTGGCACGGCACGCTCAGCTCCCCGCCCGGTGTGACCTGGCTCTCCTCTCCCCTAGGTGCAGGGGGTCACCGCCACCTGGTTGGGATGAGGCCCTTCTGTCTATCAAAAGAAAAACGTGACCGACACCGACGATCACCACGGTGAAGACGACACACTAACACCATACGAGATGACATCACGTTCTCCCGTGGAACTCCCCCAGAACTCCGCCTCCTGGGCCTCAGCATGCTTCTTGCACCCGAGGACATTGGGCCAGGGAAGGTCAAGGTGCGGGGAGGAAACAGCTGGGCACTGAGCAATGGCCCACGTGGACCAGGCGCCCCCGCCGGCCCCTATAGACACCCAGGCTCAGGGAGAGGGGTAGTGAGATGATGCACATGGGGGGCCACCCAGAAACAGCGCGTGGTAAGCCACGGCGAGCAGGGCGAGACGCTACCCTCAGGGTGAGGTCTTTGTGTCGCGACGGTGGCAGGGGCTGTCATGAAACGCTGGGAACCAGGGCACACGTGCAGTGCACACTGCTCTTAAACGCTCCGTGTGCACACCCCCGGCCTCACGGGCACGTTGAGGATGGAACCCGGTATTTCCTCGGTAATACTGACAGTGTGGTAAACAATTTTGTGTAGGCAAACAGTACTTCTGTTTCACTTCACCTGCTGATATTTCAATGGTAGGAAATCCTGACTTTCATTCAAAACAGCTAAAAATTATCATCAAATTTCCACTACAGAATGTTGCAGAGAAACCACAAGGCTTCCTCTTGTGCTGCCATTCACAAGTCTTGAGGGACAGACTAGGGTCGATTCTCTCTCTCTGTGCAGCAGCACGCAGAGCTCTGCTGTTACTTCTGAGACTGAGGCTCACAGCGTCTCCCAGGGCACGGACCTGCATGTGCAGTCACCGTAATTCATACTTCTGAGCTACAAAACCATCGAGCGAGTAAACATTTGATCCCATCACAAACCCAGGAGCATCTGCTGTGGCTGCCTGGTTATGTTTATCACGGATACGGTGCACGGGCCACACAACCTTTATTTCTAATGAGGCACTCGGAACAACAGCACGCGGCTTCCCACCTGCTTTCGGACGTCAGGTAGATGGCCACGGTATCCCGCAAAGCGCAGATTTCGAGTCTTGCCTGAAGGTGAGAAGAGAACAAGGTGATGTAGGCAAACAGGTCAGATATCAAATATGACCACGTGCAGAGGGGAGCAGTGCCCCGCTGGCAGCACCCCACTCGAAGTCCGCAGCAGTGTCTAGAACAAGCCAAGGAAGCTGCCGACGAGCAAGGCTTCCTCTTGCTGAACCGTGGAGGCAGTTATGGCCTCGGGAGGAAGCTTCCCCGTGGTCTGCGTGTGAGCCGCAGACACCACGAAACCCGTCCCTGAGTGGGCCCTTCCTCACGCAGGGAAGGCGGTGGCTGGGCCCACTTGCTGGCACCAGGCCCTTGGAGGCATGAAGCTGGATCCCAAAAGCCAAATTAAGTTCTGCATTCAGCTCACTCGTTATTAAAAACAGCTGCTTTCTTTTTCTCTTTTTTAGTTGAATTGACAAGAAATACAGGGGACCCAGAACGCTAACACAATCTTGTAAAGAACACATCTGGAGGGAGCATACCTGGATTTCTAAATTATCCAAAGCCACAGCAATCAAGACAATCTGGCACTGGCATAAAGCTAGACCCAGAGAACAACGGGACAGAGTTCGGAAATAAACCCCTACGTTGATGAGCGGCAGGGTGTCATGATGCTGAGCGGGAGGGTGTCGTGGCACAGCGGGAGGGTGTCCTGGTGCAGTGGGAGGGTGTTGTGGCACAGCGGGAGGGTGTCCTGGCGCAGTGGGAGGGTGTCATGGTGCTGAGTGGGAGGGTGTCGTGGTGCTGAGTGGGAGGGTGTCGTGGCACAGCGGGAGGGTGTCGTGGTGCTGAGCGGGAGGGTGTCCTGGCGCAGTGGGAGGGTGTTGTGGTGCTGAGTGGGAGGGTGTCGTGGTGCTGAGTGGGAGGGTGTCGTGGTGCTGAGCGGGAGGGTGTCTTGGCGCAGCAGGAGGGTGTTGTGGTGCTGAGTGGGAGGGTGTCGTGGTGCTGAGCAGGAGGGTGTCGTGGCACAGCAGGAGGGTGTCGTGGCGCAGCGGGAGGGTGTTGTGGTGCTGAACGGGGGTGTCGTGCCGTGGCGGGAGGGTGTCATGGTGCTGAGCAGGAGGGTGTCCTGGCACAGTGGGAGGGTGTCGTGGTGCAACGGGAGGGTGTTGTGGTGCTGAGCGGGAGGGTGTCGTGGCGCAGTGGGAGGGTGTTGTGGTGCGGCGGGTTAAGCCGTGGCCTGCAATGCTCGCATCCCATACTGGAGTCTGGGTTTGAGTCCCTGCGGCTTCCGATCCAGCTCCCTGCTGGAGGTGCCTGGGAAAGCAGTGGACAGTGGCCTGGGTGCTTGGCCTGCTGACCCCCACTGGGAGACCTGGATGGAGTTCCAGGTTCCTGGCTTCAGTCAGGCCCAGCCCCGGGCACTGGGCATTTACAGAGTGAACCAGTGGATGGAAGACTTCTGTGTGTATCCTTCTTTCCCTGTCACTCTGCCTTTCAAATGAATAAATAATTCACTCTAAAGATAGCTGGATATTCACCGGAACTCAAAAATGGCTCACAGACTCAAACATAAAGCAATAAAACGCCTAGAAGAAAGCAGAAGTAAACCTGGCACCTTAAGCTCAGCAACTCTTCTTAGAAATGCTGCCCCCAGGTCAAGGAATAAAATAAACTGGAGTTCATCCAAATGAAACCTTACTGTGCTACACAGGACGGGAGCACTCAGCCTGAGACACACCTGCTAGCCACGAGGATGGCTACAGTCATCAGACACAGCGGCCAGTGCTGAGGGGGACGTGGAGGAATGGAAACCCTGATTACAGGTGGGAATGTAAGATGGTACAGCACCCTCTGAACACAGCTGGCAGTTCCCCAGCAGATTGAACAGCTATCACATGACTGCCGAGCCCACGCCTAGGTATATACCTAGGAGAAATAAAAACACCCATCTACACAGAAAACAGGTGCCTGGATGTCCACAGAAGCATTGGAGAAACCCCAAATGTCCATCAACTGACGAATGGACAGAGACAATGCAGTCTGCACATGGAACACTATTTATCCAGAAGAAAAGTCGAAGCATTGGCGCAGACCATACAACACGGAGGAACCCAGGCCAGCACGCCGAATCAAAGAAGCCAGTGACAGAAGGCTGTGCTTGGCCGACGTTGTTCACGTGCAATTTCAGAATCCACGAGGCGTGGAGAGAGGGAGGCGACGGGTGCCTGTCTGGGGCGGGAAGGTGGAGAGGCACTCGTGGGTGATGAGGCGCTCTAACGTTCAGTGGAGTCACGGTGATGACTGCACACGGGCCTGTGCTGGATGCTGCCCTGCTCACACTGGAGGCAGGCTGCACGGTGCACGTCTGCGTCAAACTTCTAAGAAGGAAGAAAGCTCCCGTAAAGCCTCCCCTGCTTTGTGCCCTGACTCACTCCCCCTGGAGGTCTACAGGAGCCTGCGGGGAGCCGAATCTTGTACTTTGTTCTCTGCGGCAGGTGCCTGGGTGGGGGGAGGGTGCTGCTCGGGGGAGCCTTTGAAGCAGGCGCAGCCCGGGCCCGCGAGGAGTGCATGAAACAGAAAACGGGGACAGGGCACACAGCCGTGGCTTTTTACATCACACTGAGCTAGAAATCCCATGAGCAACCTAGAAGATGCTGACTTTCGGGCTTTAGGAGCCCCGAAAACAGTCTGTGAGCAGAAAGCACATGGGTGACAGTCTGTCTCTATTGTTCACACTCTAGTATAGGTAAAAAGAGACTTAGGGCAATATCAAAGGTAAAGGTTAAGGTAGAATTTTAGTTGAATATTTTAGGAGATAGATTTTATCAATGTAGAAATAAAGTAGAAATTTTATTCAATCAAAATGACAGGATTTTTTTTTTGAAAAGAAGAATTACTTTATTTATTTGAAAGGCAGAACTACAAAGAGAGAGAGAGAGAGCGAGAGAGAATCTTCCATCTGCTGGTTCACTCCCCAAATGGCCATTAATGGCCAGATCTGGAACAGAAGGTTTTAACTAACCTATGAATCACTATAAAACACATACAGCTGTAATCCAGGAAATGTCACACGGGAGGGCAGCTAAACTTGCTAAACTGGCTCTCTGGAAGGTTCTGGAGATTGGCACTTGATGTGAAGTGACCACAGATTAGTGATCTGCTCCCACAAAGGAAGCACCCACAGCCGTTCTTAAGAGAGAGAAGGCCAGGCTGTACATCTGACCAGACTTTCTCACACAAGCGGATGCCTGCCAAGTCCCCAGGAGGCACCAGGTGCCGGGGGCCCTAGCGTGGCGGTGTGGGCAGCCAGGACTGAGCAGCTTTCTGGCCACTTCTGCTGTCTCTCCTCGCCCTCTCCCTGCCAGCTCTGAGAGGGACTGAGCCATCGGGCACCGGATTGCAGGGAACATCTCTGATTATCTAATTCCACGAGCAGTGAGGGCCGAGGCCGCAAACTCTCTGCAGCATCACACACGTCACAGCACGGACTTCCCGTGACGGATTCGTGATATCGCGTGCTTCAACGCAAACTGTAATGCCAAAGGTCAAACCTGTCAATGTTCTACAGAAGATTGGTGGCACACAGAAAGACAGCAGGTGTTAGGTTTTTGAGTGTGTGTGTGTTATACCCATGAAGGTTTATTACATTATCATTTTAACTTTGACACTTAAGATTTTCTGTGAAAAAGGTTTAAAAGTTTTTAAGTTTTCTGAACCAGCATATAAAATTGTACAAACTTATGGGCTACTGGGTGATCTTGTGATCCATGTACACATTGTGTAACGTACAATTAGGGTAAATGCATCTACCTCCTCAAATACTTAACATTTCTTTATGGTGAAATCGTCCAAAATCCCACCTTCTGGGTTTTTTATTGTTAAGTAGAGAAAGCGCCTCGTCCACAGTGGCTGTGCTGTGCAGCAGAACCCCCGGATTCCTCACCCCTATCTAGCGAGAGCCAGGGCCTGTGACTGCCTCCCCAGCCTCTGGGAGCCGTTACACTCCACTCCTAGGCGGTCTTCTGTTTTCTAGACTCCTAACGTGAATGAGAGGATGCGACATGTGTCTTCCTTTGCTTGGCTTATTTCACTTAACATACTGAAGTTTTGTAACAGATTTTCCCCTAATCAAATTAACATGGTTTCCTTGTCTTTTTTTTTTTAACATGCTATTGAAATAAAAATTGTATACATATATCAAGAATTGTACATAAGGGTAGAGATAAATGGATGCTGTCTGCTGGGCACACTCATAACGACCACCCAAGTGAAGGAAAGAACACCACCACTGCCCCGAGAGCTCCCCCTAGTCCTCCCTCTCTGCTTTCTACACGGGGAAAGAAAGGTATAAGGGGAAAGAAAGGTACACTGTCATTTTCAGGGCATGCTTCACTGAAACAGCATCTATCACTAAGTACCAAATGATACCACATCCACACAATTTTTATGGTCTTTCTATATATCAGCTTCCAGGAGAAGAGAAAACATAAGCTCTTTGTCTCCCGTGCACTGGCTTATTGTACTTAGCACAATGACCTCCAGTTGCATCTATTTTGTTGCAAATGTCAGGACTGCATTCCTTCTTATGGCTACGTAATATTCCACTGTGTGTATGTTCTGTGTTTTCTTTAATCTAAGTTGATAGACATCTAGGTTGATTTCACATCTTAGCTACTATGACTTGAGCTGTTATAGACGTGGCAGTACAGGTATTTTTTTATATATCAATTTTATTTCCTTTGGCTATATTATTAGAGTGGGAGCTGGGTCATGGTAGATCTATTTTCAGTTTTCTGAGGAACCGCTATACTGTTTCCCATAATGGTTGTACCAATTTGTATTCCCACCAACAGTGTACCAGGGCATTTTTTTCTCCCTAACCTCACCAGCATTTTTATTTTTATTTTTGGATAACAGCCATTCTGACTGGAGTTAGGGGATATCTCACTGTGTTTTTTATTTGCATTTCCCTGATGGCTAGTGATCCTGAGCACTTTTTTATGTATCTATTGGCCATTTATATTTCATCCTTTGAAAAATGTCTGTTCATGTCCTTTGCC